GTCTTCTTGATAACAAATGTTTTACTTAACAAGTGTTTTGTCTTCTTGATAACAAATGTTTTACTTAACAAGTGTTTTGTCTTCTTGATAACAAATGTTTTACTTAACAAGTGTTTTGTCTTCTTGATAACAAATGTCTTACTTAACTTCTGTCTTGTCTTCTCAATAACAAGTGTCTTAACTTCTGTCTTGTCTTCTCAATAACAAATGTGTCTTACTTAACTTTTGTCTTGTCTTCTCAATAACAAGTGTCTTACTTAACTTCTGTCTTGTCTTCTCAGTAGCATATAACCTTTAACTGCTATTAGTTTCATAATAATAATAATTAGTAATGTCAATGAATAGCTGTCTTGCTTTTACAACATCTATTTTACTATACTTCACAGCTGTCTCATTTAATATTTTCAAACTGTTTGACTTTACTGTTTAATAGCTATCTTAACCTTTACAACATAAAACTGCTACTTTACTATTTAAAACAAGTCTCATTTTAACAGAATCAAACTGTGCCACTTTACTGCTTAACAAGTCTCATTTTAACAGAATCAAACTGTGCCACTTTATTGTTTAACAAGTCTTACTTTAATAGAATCAAACTGTGCCACTTTACTGTTTAACTAGTCTCACTTTAACTGAATCAAACTGTGCCACTTTACTATTTAAAATAGGTCTCACTTTAAGAAAATCAAACTGTGCCACTTTACTATTTAAAATAGGTCTTACTTTAACAGAATCAAACTGTGCCACTTTACTATTTAAAATAGGTCTTACTTTAACCTATTAAAATGAGACTTGTTAAGCAGTAAAGTGGCACAGTTTGATTCTGTTAAAATGAGACTTGTTTTAAATAGTAAAGTGGCACAGTTTGATTCTGTTAAAGTAAGACCTATTTTAAATAGTAAAGTGGCACAGTTTGATTCTAATCAAACTGTGCCACTTTACTGTTTAACAAGTCTTACTTTAATAACATAATCAAACTGTGCCACTTTACTGTTTAACAAGTCTTACTTTAACAGAATCAAATTCTGTCACTTTACTGTTTAACAAGTCTCACTTTAACAGAATCAAACTCTGCCTCTTCACTGTTTAACAAGTCTTACTTTAACAGAATCAAACTCTGCCTCTTCACTGTTTAACAAGTCTTACTTTAACAGAATCAAATTCTGTCACTTTACTGTTTAACAAGTCTTACTTTAACAGAATCAAATTCTGCCTCTTCACTGTTTAACAAGTCTTACTTTAAAGATTATTTACCATTTAGCAGTTTTCTTACCTTTACAGCATCAAACTCTGCCTCTTCACTGTTTAACAGTTGAACTGCTGGGGCTAACAATTCTTCTCTATGTTTTTCACTGGTTTCAAAGATTCATTAGAATACATTTTACTTTAAAGACTTTTAAACAATTGAAACATCTTGATAATTTATAAACTTTATATTCATATCTGTGACTGATATAACAAGGAAAATGTAAGAATCATTACAATCACAACTAGTTTAACCAGGAAATGACACATATTTATAGTATTTCTTACTTCAAAGTGATGTAAATAATTTTTTAAGCTGGTCTAACATAACTGATAGCCTACTAATGTTGAAAATAATCTCAAATCTGAGAATCTGCATTAATTATCATTACTGAAGCCTATATGTAATTGAAAGATACCAGACTAACAAATTATTAATTTACTTTTACAACTTCCTCTTCTCTAAACACACACAAACAAAATATTTTCTCCAAGGAGCATGATTTGATCTTTTTATGCACTTAAAATACAAGTTTTGAATACAAAGAAATAATATAACCAATTCAGCTATTGTTTGTGACAATACAGCTGATGATCCCTGTATCTTAGTACCATCAATGCATCTGAGAATTCTCATATCATTTTACTTTGAACGGAACTGAGGATTCTCATATCATTTTACTTTGAACAGAACTGAGGATTTTTGTATCATTGTACTGTCAATGCTGCTGAGAATACTTTTATTTTTGTACTGTCTGTAATTATTTAAAAAATCAGAAATTCACTCTATAAACAGGATTCCCACACAAATATTTATAGCAGTTCCCCTGATATATATATACCTGCCTTCCCACAACTGGCTATAGAAAATAAAAGGCAGTCGAAGTCGAGCCGTTGTGGGTGTAAGCACTCAGCTTCGTAACCTTATTTGATGTTTGTACACTTGTTTGATTTTCCATGACGGCTGACTAAATTAACATCAACGTTTGAATTTTGTTTGATATATGGGATATCCCCAAAACATTTGGGTGCTTTGTCACAGACAATATCTGCTATGAAAATAAGTTGACAACCTGGACCAATAACGGTAATGCGATACATATATATATATATATATATATTATTTATTTATTTTTTGTCATAAGGTTCACAATCCCTATTCATCATCAGCAAAGGCTGTTACGGGATGAACTTAGTTTTAAAGTGACAACTGCACCAGATGGAGATTACCTTCTGATGTTTTCTTATTTTACAAACGATAATTAAATATTCTATATTCTATAATTCAATTCTAATTTATTATTCCACATTTTATGTTCTGTAAAATGGAAAAAAATATTTTTCTCAGACCAACATTCCAGTTCCTTTTATTTCTCTGTATAAATAATAATTTAGACATCTTTCAAACAAGATATTTACTTTGATTGTTTGTGAAGAAGTAGAACTACTAACAAAACATTACTTCTGCATGTGAAAGTCAGCAGAACTAGGAATACAAAAATACTTTGACTGTTATAAAACACTTACTCTAAGTCAGGGTCAAGATACACTCCCAAAAGTGTGTGGAAAAGCCTATGTCGTGTCTTTCTCTCTTTACCTTCTGATAGCCGCAGACAATAATTCTCAGCTCCGGTATAATCCTCTAGCTTGTGCACTAAAATACGAAGAGCTTTTTCATGTTCTTCAAGCTGAATGTGAATTAAAAAACAAACCATTCACAACTAAATTATTAAGTTAAATTAACTGTGAAAAACAATAACCCGCTT